TGTTAACGCTTGATCTTTTTTCGCATATATATATATACACACATACTTCTTATATAGAAACTCTAAACGACAGTCTGGTTATCTAGTTTGTCAGTTTATCCAGTCTGATTATATATTTGTTTATAAATCACAATAGCTTACGTTCTGCTTCTTTATTCATATACAAGTCATTCAACAATCAAAGAACAGTGGAACGTGTTGGTTGTTTGTTTACTTATACATAAAACAAAAGGTGTTGTTGAGTGTGTTAGCTGGTTCTTTACTTATACATAAAACAAAAGGTGTTGTTCAGTATGTTAGCTGGTTCTTGACTTATACATAAATCATAAGGTGTTGTTGAGTGTGTTAGCTGGTTCTTTATTTATATAAAAATCATAAGATGTTGTTGAGTGTGTTAGCTGGTTCTTTACTTGTACATAAAACAAAAGGTGTTGTTGAGTGTGTTAGCTGGTTCTTTATTTATACATAAAACAAAAGGTGTTGTTCAGTGTGTTACCTGGTTCTTTATTTATATAAAAATCATAAGATGTTGTTAAGTGTGTTAGCTGGTTCTATACTTATACATAAATCATAAGATGTTGAGTGTAGTAGCTGGTTCTCTACTTGTGCATAAAACGTAAGATGTTGTTGAGTGTATTAGCTGGTTCTTTACTTATACATAAATCATAAGATGTTGTTGAGTGTGTTAGCTGGTTCTATTCGTAAAAGTAAAACATAAGGTGTTCTTGGGTGTATTAGCTGGTTCTTTACTTATACATAAGATATATATAAAACATAAGTAGTAGGACTGTGTCAGCTGGTTCTTTACTACTACACAAGATACATAAAACATAAGTAGTAAGACTGTGTCAGCTGGTTCTTTACTACTACACAAGATACATAAAACATAAGTAGTAAGACTGTGTCAGCTGGTTCTTTACTACTACACAAGATACATAAAACACAAGTAGTAGGACTGTGTCAGCTGATTATTTAATACTAGAAGTAAAAGTGACGCGGTTTGATTAACCTTTAATTCAGGACGCATCTTGTGTGTATACACAGACTTTCTTTAGTGTGTAGCATTTCTGTAGTATCCACCCTCCCCAAGATGATAGTGTTCAGACTGTGACATTTGTCACAGTCCTGGGAAACAGTGGACGACTGGTTATATATCGTGTTTTGCGCATGCTCTTTAATACGTGAGCTCAGACAAGGTACTGTAGAGTCCACATTAGCCAAGGTTACATCTTGGACATGTAAATTTATATATGACGTAAAAACGATGCGTCATAGAAATCATGTTTTTATATTTAAAATAATTACTTTAATGAAACATCGGTTTTAAGACATTTCTAAACTTAATGCTTGGGTAAATTTTATTATTCACAATAGATTTAATTTTTTCCCCTTAATTCCATAAAGTGATTACCAGTAAATGGTAGAACAGAGTAAATTATGTCTTTGTTTTAAACTGATTACTCATTTTTGGAGTGTACAAAACTTTTAAATAATTCCTGATAACACCATCAATTAATTGTACAGGAAAAACATTTTTTTTTGTTGAAACAACCTTTACGTTTTGTATTTCTTCGTGGAATGAGGAAAAAGAATAACGACGAATTATAAATTAGGTTCTTTTTAAATTCAAAATATAAACAAAAAAACCATCCAAATGAAAATATTGACCTATAAAAGTTGACTTATGATAGCACTTGGTGTTAAAACTTCTTTCTTCTTGTCATTCTGGAGAATTAAATCTATTGTGAATAATAAAATTTACCCGCGTATTAAGTTTAGAATTGTCTTTAAACCGATGTTTCATCTAAATAATTATTTTAAGATTAAAAGCAGGACTCCTATGACGCATCGCTCTTAAGTCATATATAAATGTACATGTCCAAGCTGTAACCTTGGCGATGTGCTTTCGACAATAAGTTGTCTGAGCCCACGTATTAAAGAGCACGCGCAAAAACACAATATATAACCAGTGGTCCATCCTTCGCCACTGTTTTACAAGACTGTGACACAATGTCACTTCTGAACACTTTATCATCTTGGGGAGGGTGGATAGTAAAGAAATGCTACACACTAAAGAAAATCTGTGGTTACACAAGTAGTAGGACTGTGTCAGCTGGTTCTTTACTTATACACAAGATACATAAACCACAAGTAGTAGGACTGTGTCAGCTGGTTCTTTACTTATACACAAGATATATAAAACATAAGTAGAGGACTGTGTCAGCTGGTTCTTTACTTATACACAAGATACATAAAACATAAGTAGTAGGACTGTGTTAGCTGGTTCTTTACTTATACACAAGATATATAAAACATAAGTAGTAGGACTGTGTCAGCTGGTTCTTTACTTATACACAAGATAATGTCTACTGGAATTGCAACATTAAGATCCGGGGTACGATTCCCTACGGTGGACACAGCAGATAACCCAATGTAGCTTCTGTCCATCACATAAACAAGTTTTTCTTCAGATGATCCCAAAATTGTATAGTTGGTCAGAGGCATCACTAGGTACTTAAAATATTCGGGGATCGGGGCCCATAAGCGCAGAAATTTTCGGCGTATCCGTATGACATCTATCGTGATTTTTCTATTCTGATTTTTCATGATACCAAATGGGGATTCGGGGCGGTGTCAAATAGAATCGGGAGCACGGGCCGCATATGCCACCTGCCCAGAGACGTTTCTGTAATTGGTTATATTTAATATTTTTTTCACCTTTGTTGAATATCTTAATTAAATACAGCGAAAACCTAAATTTGGACAAATAGAGAAGACAACAATAACACACACAACTTAAAAAACAAAGACATTCACTGGGACTTGTGTAGTAAGTAGTAAAGAACCAGGTGACACAGTCTTACTACTTGTGTTTTATGTAACTTGTGTAGTAGTAAAGAACCAGCTGACACAGTCCTACCACTTGTGTTTTATGTATCTTGTGTATAAGTAAAGAACAGCTGTCACAGTCCTACTACTTGTGTTTTATATATCTTGTGTATAAGTAAAGAACCAGCTAACACAGTATTATTACTTATGTTTTATATATCTTGTGTAGTAGTAAAGAACCAGCTGACACAGTCCTACTACTTATGTTTTATATACATGCCTGCCATCTCTAGTCTATCACTGTTAAATTAGAAACGGCTAACGTAGATAGCTCTCGTGTAGCTTTGCGCGAAATTCAAAAGAAACAAACAACGAAGTAATATGTGCACCCGAAGATTAACAAAAAACAAACACTCTTTACACATGAAGAATACTAAAATTGAGCTGTTTTTTAAGCCTTTCGTTTTGGTTGTTCACATATACTCTGACAAATAGATGCGTTGGTCACTATGGAGTCAATGTTCAAATAATTTCTTCTGGGTTTATCTTGTTTACTACATTTACCCGATGATCAGCAAGCTAACGTTTCTCAAACCCCCATCTTTTTTGTAATTACTGAATATTTATTTTTCAAACTCAGATCAGCTTGACTACTCGTCATTAATACAACAAACCTTCATCACTTAGTTAAATGTTTAACGTTCATTTTTAAAAAAAATCATTAGCTGGAAATACTTTTGAATAATCTTCTACCGAAACCTGGGATAGCAGCGCCAACCCTTGGACTACTCATTTACCAACGAATAGTGGGATTGATCGTTGCATAATTAACGCCCCCCACAGCTGAAAGAGCGAGCATGTGTGGTGACGCGACCATCAGATTGCGAGTCGAGAGCCCTAACCACCAGGCTGTGCCAAGCCGCTTCGAAAATGAAAAATATCATAAAAATTAACAGAATTATTGTGGATGTGTGTAGAAAATTTTAGTTCCCAGTCTCTGTGTAAAACTATGTTGAATGATATATATATGTGTGTGTGTGTGTGTGTGTGTTTAATGTTTGATAGCTCCGAACCGCAGCCAGGAGTGGCTCAGTAATAAACGTGCCGCACTATCAAATCGAGCGTTAATGATTCGTGACCCACCGCCGACAAAAACGCGCTCTACACCTTAAAACTTTGGGTACACCATAGGAGGGACAGTCAAATCCCACTATTCTATCAGGCAATAGCAGCACAACAATTGACGATGGATGATGTTGACTGGCTACTTTCCCGTCGACTTAGTTTTGCGCGAAAATGCTGAAACGAATGAATTGTATATGAAAAAAAAAAGTTTGGTAGCTACTCGCTAAATAAGGTGAAAACGAGAAAGAAATAATATTTGTTTGTTTGTTTGTTTTGAATTTCGCGCAAAGCTACACGAGGGCTATCTGCGCTAGCCGTCCCTAATTTAGCAGTGTAAGACTAATAGGAAGGCAGCTAGTCATCACCATCCACCGCCAACTCTTGGGCTACTCTTTTACCAACGAATAGTGGGGTTTACCATCACATTATAACGCCACCACGGCTGAAAGGGCGAGCATGTTCGGTGGGACGGGGATTCGAACCCTCGACCCACAGATTGTGAGTCAAAAAAACCCCTAACCACCTGGCCATGCCGGGGCCAAAGAAAGAATAAAAATAGTGATTGTTTGCCTTTGCACCTGATTAAGAAAGGCTCATTTTAATTTTTCAACACAATCCATATTAATCTTCCAAGTCAGTAACGTATTATTTTTTTCTGATTATTTCCACGTATTTATAGTAAGCGCAGCCAACTCCAGATGGAAAATAATCTTAAAATAAATCATTAATCTTCTCTCTCTCTCTAGACTTTCAACCTGTAAAACTTCTCCCCACCAAGGCAGAACTCTAGATGGCGCGACGTGACGTCCAGTTGCTTCCAGCTCCGAATTACGTACCGCTACTTATATAAAGGATTCAAACACTCACGTTCTTGACGTGAATCACTTTCCAGTTTACACATCTGACCCTGGGACATTTCCTTGTTACTTTCATCTAATTATTAATACTCTTCTCGCTAGTATTCGCCAATCATGACCGAGAAACGTCTTGCGCATGCTCACAAAGAAACTCGATCATGTTTCTTTTGTTTGAGTATTTTTCTGCCATAATAAAGTTAATAAGTGAGATAAAAGTAGCACGTCACATTAAGCTGTTTAAGTACTTTGTCCGATTAGACGAGTGCGAGACGTTAAAGTATACATCATAACGGACACTACTCATTCTGTCACTTTTTAGAGCTAAGCTTCTGTACGACCTGAATTTACATATGCTCATATAACTTAAGAATGTGGTTCAAGCCGCTGTTCCTGTCGCTGGTTTTCATAATGCTGACTACTCCACACGTTCGAACACAAGACGCCGAGAAAGAAGGAGAAAGTGAAGGTATGTGTAAGGAAGCCTATAACTACTTTATAGGCTAACCGAAATAAACGTGATCCTTATTATATTAAAACAACTTTAACCGAAATGCCTGTAGTAGAACTTTTTCTATGTTAAAGGATCAGTTTCTTTAATTGGAATAACTTTGTTTTAGGTTTTTCATGAAATGTTAAATTCATCTGTTTCCTTCACTTATCGAACGTTTTGTTTTCAGTTTATATAATAGGTCAAAGTTATCTGATAGATCAACGTTTTTTTTTTGTTTATCTGATGGACCACATTTTGTTTTCGACGTATCTGATGGACCACAGTTTCTTTTCGTCGTACCTAATGTTCCACAGTTTGTTTTTTTTAGTTTATCTGATGGACCACAGTTTCCTTTCGACGTATTTGATGGTCCACAGTTTTTTTTTGTTTATCTGATGGACCACAGTTTCTTTTCGACGTACCTAATGTTCCACAGTTTGTTTTTCGGTTTATCTGATGGACCACAGTTTCTTTTCGACGTACCTAATGGTCCACAGTTTGTTTTTGGTTTATCTGATGGACCACAGTTTCTTTTCGACGTACCTAATGTTCCACAGTTTGTTTTTTTGGCTTATCTGATGGACCACAGTTTATGTTCAACGTATCTGATGGTCCACAGTTTGTTTTTGGGTTTATCTGATGGACCACAGTTTGTTTTTGTTGGCTATCATTCTTCTTCTCTATTCTGTATGCCAGTAAGTCTGCTGACTTTTAACGCTAAAAATCGAGTTTCGATACCTGTGGTATGCACAGTACAGGTAGTCCATTGTGTACCCGTGTTTAAGTAAAAACAACCAAACTATTCTGTGTGTATTCTTACAACTGTACGCTTACATTAGTTAGATAATTATCGGTGTCACGTTTGTGCATTTCATTCTACGCTCTGAAAAGAAAAGAAAAAGCTTTAGAAACTGATCAATGTATAATACCGTATACGTTACATTTACCGTTAGTCTTAAGTTGATATACGGTATCCGTAACATTTACCGTGTTAAGTTGATTTATTATATTGTTACGCCTCCAGTCGTTAGTTAATTTTCCGTAACTTCGTTCCGACGAAACTTTAGCGACACAAGTCCTTTCTTAAATAAAACTGGTTTATTCTTTCCGAATATAACTTTACGATACACTTAATTTCAACAGTCGCTCTATAACAACATTATAATTCACGTCTCACGTGGCCAACAACATTTTGTCCGCATACATTCAATTACTCATTTCACTGTTCTCGTCACGTTGTGACCATATTATATATACCAGGCTACCCCCAATCTAGTAATCTCCCGATAATTCACGAAGGTTCGAGAGAAGGAGTGGCGTGATACTAGTCACGTGACCTCGCTGACGCAACAATATCATATCTGTGACATTTACCGTCAGTCTTAAGTTGATATACGGTATCCGTAACATTTACCGTGTTAAGTTGATATATTATATCATATCTGTGACATTTACCGTTAGTCTTAAGTTGATATACGGTATCCGTAACATTTACCGTGTTAAGTTGATATATTATATCATATCTGTGACATTTACCGTTAGTCTTAAGTTGATATACGGTATCCGTAACATTTACCATGTTAAGTTGATATATTATATCATATCTGTGACATTTACCGTTAGTCTTAAGTTGATATACTATCTCCGTAACATTCACCGTAAGTGTTAAGTTGATATATTATATCATATCTGTGACATTTACTGTAGGTGTTAAGTTGATATACAGTATCCATGACATTTACTGTGTTAAGTTTACATACCGTATCCGTGACATTTACCGTAAGTTGTAAATTGACAAAGCGACAATGGTACTCCTAAAACCAGCAATAATAAGGTTTAGTTTCTTACAGCCAACACCAAAATGTCCGTTATTACACTGACGGATTTTCCTGTTCGTTGGTTTTATCTACGTTGCTATAAGCTATTGTGTGTTATTCAACTATTGGCAGTACTTGGATATATATCCCTGTCAATAATAAAAGTCATTCAAGTTGAGCAACTTACTGAAACATCGTCCATACCTACTTGCTTAAAAATAATAATAACTAAACTCGGGGTATAAAAAAACAATTCCCTTGTTTCTAGATGATATTTCCCCATTATAAGTTGTCTCCCTCCCCTCCCCATAAACGTGAAATACAAGCATCACGTCTTTATTTATTTATTCATTCATTCATTGCGCAGATCTCTCATTTCGCCATCATGGCACGCATCTAATCCGCAATCAAAGAGGTAAAATAAGATAGACAATATTCTGCTATTTTGCATCTACAGGAGGAGAAATTACTGAAGTTTTGTGCAACTCAAATCTCTCATAACTTGCTCGTGTACCCATCGTCTATCAAGTACGATACGTCTATTGTGTTCTCTTTCCGGCAACTATTAAACCTCGACCTTAAATATAAGGTCTCAAATACGTAAAGGGGCGGAAATATATTATCACTTGATAAATCTAAATTATTATTAACTTCCGTGACTTAGTTTGGACATTTGGAGTTTTCCTTTATAAAATTTGAATACAGTTCATTATTTAGTAATGTTCTGTTTTCTTAGGTGGGGGTGGGAGAAAAGGGGAGGACACATAATACTTACGTTGTTTCAGTGAGGACTGGTTTTGAACCGGCTGTGTTCACTTTATGAATTAATTCTATTGTTTCCTGGAAGAACGCGTTTGATGCTGTTATGTTAATCTTTAGTACAGACTAAGTATTATTTATAGTAGCAAAGCTAGTTTCAAGTATTATTATTACTTGATGCTATAGAATAACTACATTATTTCATAAATTAACTTTTTGAAGAAGAAAAATACAATTTCTGCTTTTTTAAAATCTAATATATTACTTAGAACTGAAGATTTTTTTGTTTTTTTTAGAAAGGGACTGATTTTGTTAAATTAGGCTTTTTTGGGGTGCAAGAAACCTGTTGTGTCAGAGAGAAACCGTTATGTTATTATTATTTGGTGGTGCAAGGAGGAATAGGTTTTGTTTGTTACTATCACTTGGTGGTGCAGAAGAAACCTATTGTATTCAGGATAAACTGGTTTCATTTTGTTATTATTTGGTAGTTTCGAGGAAGTCTGACGTATCAGAGAGAAACTTGCTTTGTTCTCTTATAAGTAGTTGTCATACAGAGAAACCCTGTTGGATTCCTTCTGTTATCATTATTTAATGGTACAGAGAAAATATGCATCAGGGAAGAACCAACTTCTTTCTGTTGTCATTATGTAATGGTACAGAGAAAATATGTATCAGGGAAGAACTGTCTTCTTTCAGTTGTCATTATTTAATGGTACAGAGAAAATATGCATCAGGGAAGAACCAACTTCTTTCAGTTGTCATTATGTAATGGTATAGAGAAAATATGCATCAGGGAAGAACCAACTTCTTTCAGTTATCGTTATTTAATGGTACAGAATATAACTGTTGTACCAGGAAGGTACTTTATAATTCTTTTTTGCTCATTTGGTTGTATAAGTTTTATTGATTTGTTAAAGAAACTTTTGTAACAATAGAAATTATCTTATTCTTTCTTGAAACTGTACAAAATGATTTGCTTCTGCTTACTGCAAGACCAGTAAAAGTAAAAATCTGAAGACATTTATAATAACCCTATTTTTAAAAAGCTTTAAAATATTTTTTATATTCTTAACAGTGTTTTGTAAACTAACTCATATTTTTCTGTATGTTACGTTATTTATTACTTCTATCATTTAAAGAGACTTCTATTGAAATTATTGAATTATACAAATAACAGTTTCGTATTTTTTGGGTCTAATTGCTCACGTTACTTTATTTTCTTCCAGAAATATCATTCAGTGAACGAAGGAAACATGTTGTTTAAGTTTATTCCATTTTTCTTATCCATTAATTAAACTTACAAGTTGTTTAATTTTATATCATCAGTATTTGGTATATTTTTGACATTTTATTTGGAATTAATTAACTTCTTAAGTAATTTCATTGAAATCAAAACTCCATAAAGACTTCATACATCCTGTTCTAAATGAAAGGTTTACTTACGAGTACCTGCTATTAATTATGTTAAACAGATGAGCTACATTAAAGTAACGATTTTCAAATAATGACATATATGTATGTTAAAAGTTTCATATATACATTATTAAATGTCAGATACCACAAATTTGTAACGTACCAGTAAAAAATTATCTTAATTATGTAAATCCATAAAGATTGTGGTCCTCTGAACTTTAGCGTTGTGAAGGATAAAGAAGTGCCACGACTTGATCATCTGATTAGGAAACACTAATCAGACACACCTCTAACTAAGTTTAAAGGTATATACAGTGGTGAAAGAGGTTATTGAACTGTTTCACACTTTTTACGAGATTGTCCATTGTGGAAGTGTCAGAACTGGTGTGAAATAGTTATGGACATTGTGTTGTGTAAGTTAACTCATATTTCAGTCATCCAAACATTCATATGCATTTTTATTAACAAATCAACCGTAACAAACGTATTACAGCAGATGATCAATAAACACTTGGGAAATACGAAAATGTTCTTTAAGTAAGAAAACCTAGATTTAAAGATAACGCAACTAATGTAATTGACAAAAAAAGTGGTCTGTTTCTTGTTTAGATATTTGGTTGTGCTTCCACCGAAGTGTTCTCGATTTGTTGGCTTTAACCGGGACTCTAGGATCTCGATATACTTGTCGACATTGACATTGTTTTTCACACTCTGGCCAGAGATGCATCTCCATATCACCTGATCATCCAGATGCTTCACAGTTGCATTCAAACATGTTGGCTGGAACTCATCTTCACGTCGACGTCATACAAAGTACTTGTCATCAGACCCGTGCAGGTTGAACTTTGATTTGTCTGAGAAGATCAATTTGCTCCATATTGCTTCAGTTCAGTCAGCATGATCTTCGGTACAATTTAGCCTCATCTTGTTGATGAGGTGGAGTTTCTTTCTTGGCCGTCTTGCCAGGAGACTGGATGAATACTGGAA